AGTCAACCCTGAGCCGGTGAGATTTGAACCGCTGAACTGCTGATCTAGCAGTAGCCTGCAGTGCTGCATTTAACCACTGCGCCACCTCGGCTCAACAGACTTTAGAACCAATTAATCAATAATCAATCAATCAATCTAGATTAATATAGCACAGGTAGTCCTTGATTTATGATCACAACTGAGCCAAATTTCCACTGATAAGCAAGGCATTTAAGTCAGCCACGTCTCATTTTACAACCTTTTTTTTTTTTGCAATGCTTCTTCTTCTCTCAGAATCACCGAAGCTGTTAAGCGAATCACATGATTGTTAAGTGAATCTGGCTTCCCCTATTGAGTTTGCTTGTCAGAAGCTGGCTGGGAAGGGATCACGTGATCCCGGGATGCTGCAACTTGTAAAAACATACTGATTTTCAAGTGCCCGAATTTTGATCATGTAAACATGGGGATGGCTGTGACAGTCGTGTGAGAATCAGTCATAAGTCACTTCTTTCAATAAAGGTAGTCATTGACTTACAACCATTCATGTAATGACGATTCAAATTTACAACGGCAATAGAAAAAAAGTGACCTACAAGCGGTTTTCACACTTACAACTATTGCAGCATCCCATAGTCAGGAACTCAATATTCTGGCTCTGAGTAACCAGCTTGTATATGCGACTGTGGCACCATTCTGGGAATACGTGATCTCCATTTGTGACCTTCCCAGCCAGTTTTGGACAAGCAAAGCCGATGGGGGAAACCAGATTCACTTAATGATATTGTAATTTGCTTAACAACTGCAGTGATTTGCTTAACAGCCCTGGCAAAAAATATCCTACAATCGTACGAGACTCAATAACATTCTTGCTTAGCAACAGAAGTTCTAGTCCTAGATGTGCTTACCTCTGCTGGTTAATGACCCCGATACAATTATATGACTTTTGGTCGTAAGTCAAGAATTACCTGTATGGATTCTAACTTACCGTCAATCGAAAGATTGGCAGAAGTTTTGATTTCAGGTGAGGCGATGCAGGTGTAGGATCCTTGATCTTCAGATTTAAAATCGTGTATGATGAGTGTCTGTTTTTTGCCTTCGGAGATGATTTCATATCTTCCTCCTGGTTGGATCGGTTCTTTCCCTTTGACCCAAATCACCTCTTGGGTCTCACTGGACAATTCACACTGCAACTTGGCCTTCTCTCCTTGCGTGGCAGACTGGTCAACCAAAGGCTGAGTGACTTCAACAGGTTCTAAAATTCAACACACGAAAACCAATTTACAGGTAGTCCTCAACTTGTAAACCATTTGTTTAGTGACCATTCAAAGTTACAACATCACTGAAGAAAGTGACATATGACGGTTTTTTCATACTTATGACCACTGCAGTATCCCCAGTCATGTGATCAAAATTCAGATGCTTGGCAACTGGTTGATATATCATACAAGAAAAATGTAAAAAGGTCTCTCTCTCTCTCTCACACACACACACACACATTTACAATAGTAGGAAGGAAGGAAAGAGAAAAAAGAAGAAAGAAAGAAAGAAGGAAGGAAAGAAAGAAAAAGAAAGAAAGAAAGTAGGAAGGAAGGAAAGAGAAAAAAGAAGAAAGAAAGAAAGAAGGAAGGAAAGAAAGAAAAAGAAAGAAAGAAAGTAGGAAGGAAGGAAAGAAAAAGAGAGAGAGAAAGAGAGAGAAAAGTGCAAAGACAAGATACAAATAATAGAAAATAGAAAACACAAAAAGTAAAGAAAGTTAAATTATAGTGGAGATTGAAAATACAGTATATTTCAGCCATCACAATAGTTATACAACACGCTCTCTACCTCTCTTGGTTTACAACCAATGATTTCTTCATTCCATATCCCATTTTTTAATCTATAGACAAATCCATAAAGCAATATTTTTTGAATCCTTGGTCAGCAGAAAATCCATTAAGGGTTATCAAAAATAGCAGCACATTTTATTTTAACCTGGGTCAAATAAACAATCTCTTTAAGGCTTCCTTTTAGTTCTGAAAGTCTTAATCTTTAGTCCACTCAAGAATTGTTGTAGAATCAGATTTTTTTTAAAAAAATGTCTTCTAGTCCAACCCTCCTGTTTTGAGCAGGAAGCTCAAGTTGGAAGTCCCTTCCAACTCTGTTTTTCTGTTCTTCTGTGCTGTTATCCTGTTATTCTTCTTTTGTCTTTTCTCATAAAATTATTCAAACGTGTAAGAAGCTTCTTTTGTAAATCCAATATAAAAGAATTATCCAGATTACTCTCTTGGTAAATTATTTGTATTTCCCCTTTGATTTTTAAAACATCAACTGAGTTAAAACATTAACTGTGACATCCTTTCCATGTCATTCTCATAACTGTCATTGTTGCCTGTCATCTTTGTCTTGTCAAAAAATATTCTTCATCTGCCAATGTTTCCAAACATTTTTTGGACACTCTTTATCCTGTTTATCTATAGAAACAAACTTCACTACTGACATTTTTGTTACTAACTTATATTTATATTTTTTCAAAAGTGCCCTTCAATATTTTCAATGTTAATTTTCATTTGTATCATCTTACATGTTCCAGTTAATTAGTTGTAAAGGTGGGCAGTTTAGAAATGTGAAAAACAAACAAAAAATAAATAAACAAACAAATGGTATTTATCTCCCCCTGGTGTCCAATAGTTAAAATTGCTTTTCTTTATTTTGTCTTGCAATAGTCCAAACAATTCTATTTTCCACTGGAAGGATTCTTTATAATTAAAAACATATTCTAAATGCATTTGGTCCCTTAATCTGTTTATAATTTTCTAAGGGGGAAACGGTCTTACTTAGCTGTTTGTTATTTCATTTTATTTATTTATTTTATTTATTTAATTGTGTTGCTCTTCTCTGTATTCCTCCCAGAGTCTGAAATCTTTGTATTGTGGTGACCAAAACCATTTGGAATATTCCAAGTGTAGACTTACTAAGATTTTGTAAAGGGGTACTAGAACTTCACGGGATCTTGATTATATCCCTCTATTAATGCAATCTAGGATTTCATTGGCTTTTTCGGCAGCTGCTGCACAATGTTGGCTCATGTTCAAGTAATTTTTCTCTAGGACTCTAAGATCCCTCTCGCAGTTACTGGCATTAAGCAAAGTTTCACTTAGTCTATACCTGTAGAGTTGGTTTTTCGCACCTAATTGTAGAACCTTACTTTTATCTACCTTGAATTTAATTTTGATGGGGCGCAGTGTTCAGCGTGATCATTTTGCATCCACCCCTATCCTATACGTAAATTTCAAGAAAACAGTTACCTGTTCCAACTTACCTATGATAGTCAATTTTGCAGACGCAATGGCATCTCTGGCAGCGAAGGTTATCTCCCCAGAATGTAGAAGCTGAGCTTTCTTTAGGATGAGTTTGTAGGTATTTGCTTCAGCTTCAGTTCTCCAATTTTCATCCAGTTGGATATCTACGTCATTAAGATACCAGGCAATCTCATGGATGGGCACTGATTCACTTAACACGCAGCTGAAGATGGCTTGTTCCCCGGCACGGACGGTGACATCTGTCAGTGGCTGCAAGAATTCCAGTCTCCATCCTGAAATGATCAGAAATGATAATCCTTTCAAAGCAAGGAAGAAATTGAGAGGTTGGGAAATTTTAGGAATTTTTTTTTAAAATCCCGGAAATATAGGTAGTATTTGACCTGCAACAGTTGTTTTAGTGACCATACGAAGTTACAACGGTGCTGAAAAAGGGACATGATCATTTTTCAAACTTATGACCATTGTAGCATCCCCATGTTCACATGATCAAATTCAGATGCTTGGCAACTCATATTATGACAGTCGTAGTGTTCCAAGGTCATAAAATGGGGTAAAATTCAATTAACATATGTCTCACTTAGAAACATAAAATTTAGGCTCCGTTATGGTTGTAAGTCGAAGACTACCTGTACATGAAAATGGACCCTGTTTCCTGGCTGTATTGCTAACTGGTAAAGTATCTCGGCTGCTATGTATGTTTTTTTTATTATCTTAGAATGTTTTAGTGTTTTAATTATGATTTTTTTTTATTGTAAGCTATTCACAGTTATTGACTGAGATGGGTAGCTATAAAAAAGTAGTCCTCCACTTACAACAGTTCGTTTAATGACCCCTTGAAATTATAATGGCATGGAAAAAGGGAATTACGACCATTTTTCACACTTACGACAATTGGAACATCCCCATGGTCACGTGAGCAGAATCCTTGGCAACTGATTCATATTTATGATGGTTGCAGTGCCCCAGAATCACGTGATCCTCTTTTTGCGACCTTTTGACAAGCAAACTCAATGGGAGAAGCCAGATTCACTTAACGGCAGTGTTATTAATTTAACAGCTGCAGTCATTCCTTAACAACTATGGCAAGAAAGGTGGTACAACAACTATCTCGCTTAGCAATGGAAATTTTGGGCCCAGTTGTGGCCGTAAGTTGAGGACTACCTGTCTCTGATTGTCTCGTGCAACAAGATATTTGATTGTCACCTTTTACAGTCAAGAAAGCAGATGTGACCACATCGCTCGCTTGAAAGGTCACCCTGCAACTGTCTTGGACTTTGAGGTTCTTCAGAAGCAGAAGATGGCGAAGCCCGTTTTCAAAATAAACCAGTTCCACGTTTTCTGATGTTTTTGCCGGCACATCATCGATTAGCCAGTTATAATTGTAGATTTCTGGCTTGGAAAGATAACACTCAAAGAGGGCTTCCCCTCCTTCCATCGCATCCACATTCTCCAGGCCCTGGATGACTGTATTCTTGGCTGTTAGGACAAAAAAAAAATAGAATTAATAATAAAAGGGCCTCAATCCCTGACTTTCCCGTCATACGGGTAGTCCTCACCTTACAACTGTTTGTTTAGTGACTGTCTGAAGTTACAACAGCACCGAAAAATTGACTTTGGACTGGTTCTCACGCTTGCAACCATTGCAGCATTCCCATGGTCACGTGATCAAAATTCAGGTGCTTGGCAGCTGACTCATAGATATGACGGTTGGAGTGTCATGGGTTCATGTGATCACCCTTTGTGACTGTCACAAACAGCTTCCGATTAGTCAATGGAAGAAACCAGATTCAATTAATGGCAGTGTGATTTACATAACAACTGCAGTGATTCACTTAACAACCATGGCCCAAAAGGTCATAAAATGAGGCTTGGCTATTTAAAAACAGCCTTACTTAGCAAGAGAAATGTTGGACTCAATTGTAGTTGTAGGTTGATGACTACCTATATAGCATTTAAATTAGCTGGAAATAATATTACATATAATAAGTATAACATATATTTATGTACATTAAATATAAATTATGCATATAATTATATATTATATATAAAAAGTATAAATTACATATCATACACGCACATATATTATATATAATGTTGCATATATATATATATATATATATATATATATATATATATATATATAATATAACTGTATATAATATTGACACAATAAATAAAATATAACAATAATAAGACATTAGATGGATTGCAAACTTGATTGTTTGCAATGCTTTATATTTAAAAAATGAAGTGACTGCCATCTTTAGCTGAAATTCAACTTTCATTTTGATATAGGTTGAGTTTTGGAAAGGAGAAAGTTTTTTTATAGGAATAAGTTGTGATTTAGGAGATTCTGCAGGGGGAATCAAACATGAAACATTTTTTTAAAGTGGAAATTTAATTGCATGGTTAGAAATTGACTGCTTGAAGATACAGTGGCATTGAAAAAAATGGTTTAAGACTGCTTTTCACATTCACAATTGCAGCCATCCCATGGTCTCACAATAAAAATTCAGATCCTCGGAAACTAACCCATATTTATGGTGGTTGCAATGTCCTGGGGTTCCCCTTTTGTGATCTTTTGACAAGCAAAGTCAATGGGGAAAATGTTATTATTTAATAACTATGTTACTAACATAACATCTGCAGTGATTCATTTAGCAACTGTGAAAAGAAAGGTTGTAAAACAGGGTAAAATTTGTTAAAACTCATTTAACAAATATCTCGCTTAACCACATAAATTTTGTCGGTCAAGGACTGCCTGTATGCTTTTCAGATGCCATAGTAAACATTTCTGTAAGGAACTGTGATTAATGCCAATGAAATTCAAGCCTACAAAATTTATTTATTTATGTCCCACCTTTATTATTCTTTTATAAACAACTCAAAACGGTGAATATATCGTAATACTCCTTATTCCTCCTATTTTCCCCACAACAACAACCCTGTGAAGTAAGGCAGGACTAGAACTCACTGTCTCCTGGTGATTGGGCCAAAGTCACCCAGCCAGCATTCTTGCCTAAGGTGGGACTAGAATTCATCATCTCTTGGCCTAAAGTTCCCCAGTTCTTCCGCTAAAGGAGGACTAAAACTCACAGTCTCCCAGTTTCTAACCTGGTTCCTTAATCTCTACTTGATCTTGGCTGGTGCAGAAACTGTAAGCATATAGTACGTACAATTAGGTTTTTTTAATGTCTATAATAAAAAACATAATTTGGTCTTTCTTTTTATCATCACAAAGCTTTACTCAAAGTGACTTTATTTTAAAATGGGCAGTTGTGTTTTCACAGTGTTCAAAGCAACCCGGAAGCCAAGCATTAAAAAAAAATAATGCAAGCAATAAAATCATTAAAAAATTTAAATAATCTCAGAACAGTAGACAAGCCAAATAATAAAGCATATTTCAAAAGCTTCAGCTCCGAATAACAACAGATGACCATCAAGGTTGCAGTAACATAGAGCAATTACATATTGTTTTAGGCTGCTCAAATGCATTGCTGAGTTATCCTTACAACAGCCCTGTAAGGTAGGCCAGGATTCCTGTTCTCCTACTGTGTATAAGACAACTGAATTGTTGGTGTTGACATGTGCTAAGAAAACTCTTCATGGTTGCAATGCAAATTCAGCCAGGGACACTTCTCAGCTCTCTGCTTCTATCTGAATTTATTTTATGCAGTAGTTTATTGCTAAAATTAAGGGTAGATAGAAGAAATCAAGCAAAGTGCGTTTGGAAAATGCAGGCATTTTCCAAATGCATCACCTCAAAATTCTCAATCATCTGGATTTTCCTGCGACAAATAAGAGATTAACAATTTAATATGAATATTTATTGAGAGAAGAAAATATTTGTAGCTCGGGATTGAAATGTGGGGTCTTTGGTGCTCTTGGAACTTGATTGTTTTCTTGCAGACATTTCACGATGCAACTAGGTAACATTATTAGTGTAAGAAGGGAATAAGGTTCTAGTTTCTAGCACTGATAATGTTACCTAGTTCGGTCATGAAATGTCTGCAAGAAAACAACCAAGCTCAAGGAGCCTCAACAACCCTGCATGAATGCTTATGTCCTTACAAGGTTTTCTGTTCCCCAACACCTCCTATAAGTGTTAGCCAAACCCTTTGTAAACATCAAATCTCCCCTTGCTCTTTGATCTCCAAAAGCTAGTCGCTTAACCAGTGGGACGACTTTGCCTCCAGAAGTTGTGGGTGCTCCAACACTGGAGGTTTTTAAGAAGAGCTTGGACAACCTTTTGCCTGAAATGGTATAGGGTCTCCTGCTTGAGGCAGGGGGTTGGGCTAGAAGACCTTCAAGGTCCCTTCCAACTCTGTTATTCTGGTATTAGTCACCAAAAGAAAGTTTGGTTTGGCCCTCATGTCAGCTTCGGTGGCGTTCACATGATCATCTTCTTCCATTGTGGTTGACCTCACCTTGAACGTCAAGCATGGCCACCACTTTGGTCCCTCCGGCTTCACAAGAGTAAATCCCCGTGTCACAAGGAAGAGCCGGCTTGATTTTCAATTTGGCCACGTTCCAGTCCTGCTCAACCACAACTCGTTGGCCATCTCCCCAAAGAGGTTGATCATCCTTCTTCCAGACGGCCTCCACTGGCCGAGAATACTGGCAGATGAATTCCGCCGTCCCATCTTCTTCCAAAGTTAGGTCCTGCATGGGGCTGACCACCTCAATGGTCGGATCTGTCAACCGATAGGTCAGGTGTTAGTGCAGGCTTGGGGGAATATTTATGGAGACTTTTTTTGCTTTTAAAGAAGGACTCTCTGTGAGTTGTGTGAAAGCAGGGATCAGGAGCACTCTTTAGTTTGCTAAGGTGGTTTAAGGCTTGTTTGGCTCAGCGATGGAAATGATAAAAGCATGTGAGTTAGCTAAGGAGGCAGCGGATCACTGGTGACTGAATGGCTGAAAGCAGTTTTGCCTAATTTAGAAACCCTCCAGGGGTATAGACTGCAACTCCCAGAATCCCTCAGCGAGCGTGGAGATTGTGGAGAATTCTGGAAGCTGAACTATTGAGAAAGTTGGTCAGATTAAGTCGTTTTTCTTAATATCATAGTCCTCAACTTACAACCATTTGTTTAGCGACCATCCAAAGTTACAATGGCACTCAAAAAAGTGACTTATGACCGATTCTCACACTTATGATCATTGCGGCCTTGCAGTCATGTGATCAAAATTCAGGTGCTTGGTCTATATGATGGTTGCGGCATGCTGGGGTCACGTGATCACCATTTGTGACCTTCCCAGTCAGCTTCTGACAAGCAAGGTCAATGGGGAAAGATTCACTTACTAGATTCACTTAGCAACCGCATGATTCACTTAACTGCAATAATTCGCTTAACAACTATGCTAAATCAATCATAAAACCGGGCAGGATTCACTCAACAACCACCTTTCTTAGCAACAAAAATTCTGGTCACAAGTATGGTTATAAGCTGAGGACTATCTACAGACAAAGTTACACCTGTAGTAGTTACTGTACTCAGATGGATATTTAAGCATTTCTGAAAATCTCCCATTTGCATCACCTTGGCCTGTAGCTATAGTTTATAATTATTAATTAAATTATTAATTATTATTATTAATTATAATTATAATTATTATAATATAAATTATTAATTAAATTATATAATTATAATTATATAATTTAATTATAATTAATTAAATTTGTTTGTTGTCCATCTCGAATCAAGAGACCCTATTCACTCGCAGATGATAACCACCAAAAAAGATTGAACTGGAAGCTATTTTGTTGAAATTGTTTCAGCTGCCCTACAAAAGATTGCAAAAGTATTTAAAACCAGATATGTATTTATTTTATTTATTAAACCTTTATGCCGCCAGTATTCATGACAGTTCAGCAGATCCAGCACAGGCAATTATCAGATGCTTCTAAATCTATTATATGCTGTTGAAAGCCTTCCAGAGTCACTTTAGATTAGCGAGACAGCCAGCATATAAATTTAAGAATAAATAGATATCTTCCAAGGACAATGAGTAAGGTGCAGGGTTTTGCTTAAGGTAGTAGTGCCTAGTGGTTAATGCATTCCTTCCGGGAGCTGTTTTGCAGAAATTGGTTAGGGGTCCAGTGACACAAGGAACAAGCACAGCATGGTGGTTGCCTGACAGGGAAAGCCTGAAATACCTTTGATTAATAATTTAGCTGAGGATATCAGAGAACCCATTCGAAAGATCACTGTTCCTGAATCATTGAGACCCAGGTCTTTTAAGATCAGCTTGTGAGTGGTTCCATCGTGCACCGAGATTTCATTTGCAGTGCTGTTGTGAAGAGGGGAGCCGTCCAGCCACCACTGTGGGTTTTGTGTTCCAGATCGGGAGAGCTCGCAGGTAAAAGTAGCTGATTCCCCGGCAAAAATATCCATGTTCTTTAAACCAGAAACTATCTGTATTTCCTCTTCTGTGTAACAGAAGAAGAGAACACACGCAGCGGAGGTGTAAAAATGGACCATCTTTGTGTTTCTACATCATTTGACAACATGAATCATTTCGTGAGAGGAGAGACGTTGCAAAATTAGCACCCAAGATTAAAACTCTGCAACTGAAACTTACAAAAGTACAGGAGTCACTGACTTACACCCATTTGTTTTGCGGTCAAAGTAACAACGGCACTGATTTTATTTCTGTTCTAATTTTTCACAAAGCTGGCAAGATACAGCTCTTAGCTAACTAATAGACTCAATCAAGAAATCAACTCGACAAGGCTAAAATTACTTTTATTCATGTTGATTTATAAGAACAGGATCTTGAAAAAGCTGGCTGTGCTTTACCACAGGTGTCCCCACCTTGGTCCCCCTCTGGCCAGTGCGTGTGTGTGTGTGCGCGTGCGCGTGCACGCATACACACACACTTGCGCTAATGCTACCGTGAGCATCATGTGAACAATAGTGTTGCTATGAACTTCACATGTGTATAAGCATCACTGCGAGCATCATACGGATGTTAGCGTCTCTGTGAACTGGCGGTCTCGTTCGCACTTGCACAGGTATGAGTAAAGGCACCTGCCCCTTCCCCCTGGGCCACCAACCCGGATAGGTTGGGGAATCTGCTTCGTGTCACCCTTATATTCATGTGAATTAGAGAGAGTGTCAGCCTGAATCTTTTGCAAACATGTTCTTGTTTTCGACTTTTCCTCCTTGCTATTTTCCTAACAGATCTCTATAAAGATCACCTTCCTTATTTTCCATGGCATCTCATCAGTTCCTTAAAAGCTTTTAGCAAAAGTGGACTGCAGTAAAATAATGGGAGTTTCCATTTGGTCATTCACTGGACAAATAAAACACAGACATCCATGGATGCAATTTTCTTAGCCACAATATGGAATGTTCTTCTTTTGTTGTACTTTCCCTCCCTCCCAAATGCTAACCAGGCCTGATGGTGCTTAACTTTTCAAAATCATCTAAAAATCATACATTAATCTTTTTTTAAAAGCTATCTCACACCAGAACCGCAGAAGGATACTGTAGTAAGCATCCTATATATTAGTCAGAGGTGGTATTCAGGTCTCTTCTGTTTGGGGGAACCAGTAGTGGCGGCTGTGGGAGGCTCGGCCCACCAACCCTGACGTAATGCACAACCTTCTGTGCACGCCCACATTTGAGAACCAGTAGGGAAGGTAAGTGAATCCCACCACTGATATTAGTCATCTATACAACAAGATGGTTTATACGCCAAAGATGTTTTGGATCATTCATTTTTTTCAGATCCACTGAACTCTCCGGTGACTAAATTAGAAAGATTGATTTGCCTCCAAACCTAGTTTAATAACAGGGAAAGGCACAAAACAGATGCATGAGTTCCATTTTTATGTATAGAAATAACCTTAAAAAGAAACAACTTGGAAATGAAGAGGAATTCCCTGGTCTATGTAGCAATGGGATGGCCTGTCTTGAGGTTCACTGATTAATTGTTATCACCGAGAGGAAATTTCTCCTTACTTCTAGGCTGGATCTCTCTTCAATAATCTTCTACCCATTGCCTCTTATCGTCCACTCAGGTGCTTTGGAGAATAGAATCATAGAATAACAGAGTTGGAAGAGACCTTAGAGGTCTTGTAGCCCAACCCTCTGCTCGAGCAGGAAACCCTACACCACTTCAGACAAATGGTTGTCCAGTCTCTTCTTGAAAGCCTCCAGTGTTGGAGCACCCACAACTTCTGGAGGGAAGCCATTCCACTGATTAATTGTTCTCACTGTCAGGAAATTCCTCTTTAGTTCTGTTTTAACTGAATCGCTCCTTGATTAGTTTCAATTTATTGCTTCTTATCCTGCCTTCAGGTGTTTTGGAGAATAAGTTGGCCCCCTATTCTTTCTCACAGCCACTCAAATACTGGAAGACTTCTATCATGTCACCCCTAATCCTCCTTGTTAGACAGTTCCTACAACCACTTTAGTCCCCTAAACAAGGATGATTGTCTTTGTTGCTCTTCTCTGCACTTCCTAGTCTCAATCTTTTTTGTAATTTGACGACCACAAAAGGACACAGCATCCCAACTGTGGCGTAACCAGTGCAGCGTAAAGCAGCCCTAACACTTCCAGAGGTCTTTGATACTGTGCTTCTGTTGGCAAGTTGAGAACATAAAATCAACTGGCTGCAGCATTAACAAAATACAGGTAAGAATTAGGAACGTACCTTGTACATATACCGAGGCCGTGGACAGCTCGTCTCCAGTGCTGCATGTATATGATCCACAGTCCTCTGGTTCCAAGTCATAGATGATCAGCTCAACCGTGGGGCCTTTTTGCTTCATCTCGTACTTGGCACTGGGCTGCAGAATGACGGACCCTTTCCGCCACTCGACGGGAGTGTTGGGACTTGAGATCTTGCCACACAGGACGGCTTTCCCTCCGGTTTCTGACTCAATGTTTTGCAACCCTTCTTCAAAGAATACGGGTAGCACTGCCGGGAAGAAATGACACAAGTATTGTGATGCTCTTTGCAGACATTAAACAATACCTCTACGGGTATTGTTTAGGGTTTTATGTCAGAAGCATCACAAAATAAGGCATGGTACAGGTGGTCCTCAACTTATGACCTCAACTCAGAATTATGCATGAAACTGTAACAGTGAAAATGTCTATACGGTTAAAAACAAAGCAATATGGATGGAAATGGGATATTTTTATGTTTGCAAATACTGAATAGACCAAATGTAAATAAATGTGATGGTCATAATGTATAACTTTATATCTTAGTATAGATATTGTATAGTATAGATATATCCTTAGTAAGACATTGTCAGGATGGTTATGCTGTACCCAATGTTTTAATTTGTGTTCAATAAAAAACTTTATAAAAAAAAACTT